GAAGGGACTGCAAGTCTTAATTCTTGGTAACGATATTCTGGATTTAATGGAGAGAATCCAGCGTCCGGCAACGTACTGGGGCAGTCGAATTGCGGAGGTGGAGACCAATGGCGGACTCATACATACGCCTGAAATCTGGATCGTGGCAATAACCCCCAATCAGCCCACGCACGAAGCGCCAACAGAGCTCGCGACATCAGAAGAGCCATTTGACGCCTTAGTCCAGCCTGTGGAGAGCAAATACATGTACAGAGACCCGGATACGAGCATGCCGGTGATGTGGTTAAAGGGTACGGGCGTATACTTGAGATATCGAGATCCTCAAATGGAGACTCAACGGTCGAAATACATGTGTACCGTGAAATCTTCCTCTTTTGCGATCGATTGGGATGATCTTTACCAAGACATACGGCCCGGCTCTACCCTACCCTACATCGACGCTTCAGGAGAACCCCACACGATCAAATTTTCAAAGCATGATACGGCGATGGAATTCAAGTCGGATATTCATAATGAAGATCGCTCGGTTGTTTTGTGGAAGAGAATGTACGTTCCCGAGGCGAACGCGGTATTCAATGGCAGGGTGCTAGACAGAAATGGGAGGAATGTTTTGGGAGAGGTTGAGTTTGCTTTCAAGTTCCCTTTTCAAAGTAACATATAATTGGGGATGACATTGTAAGTTATAATCAAAAGTCAGGCCTGCCCGCATACGCTCTTCAGATCAAGCTTTACATGTCCTTAAGGCGCCTGTCCATTCTAAGGAGACTTGACCCGGCAATGTAGTTCTGGGTCGTCCGGATCCTGACCTGTGAAGCTCAAGATGAGTGAGGTATTTCAGCATCAAGTGCTGTGTCGAGGTGCTCATTAATGTAGTATGACAAGAACCTCCAAGCAAAAATGACAGCAGTTGTCGCCCATTGCCAACTGTGTTTTGTACCCATGGTTTGAGGGCGAATGACGGTGTGTAGAGGACTTTTGCGGGAGCCGACCGGCCTACCTGAGAGTCCATCTCTGCACCGCTTCGCCGGTCGGCACGACTCTCCACTCTGCGTGGGTGATCGTAGGGTGCAGGCGAGGTAGATGGAAATAGAACAAGCGACTGCCAATCACTCGTGAGTGTACGTGACCGACACTCGGCATCGTGATCAGCAACTGTGGCCATAGCTGGATATGGATTTTTGAAGCAAGCCTAGCAAGAAATGAAATTCTGATTGTTTATACTTCAGATTACAAGGCGACCGTTCATCTTTGCAAGTGCTGGACACCACTAGGCCTTAGTCAAAATTTACTGGCTGCGTCGCTCAATTCGAATCTGACATAGTTACCTTACCAGCGATGACAAAAAGACAAGGATTCAGCTCAGTGGAGCCGCGTCGAATAAGGCGGAGATTATTGACAGAAAATGCAACTCGTGGGGCTGGAGCAATTGACAGATCTCTGTGCTTCTTGAATTGACTGTAGAAATCACTATGTTGGCCCTGGAACCTTCAAAAGCATTTCTAGGGGCTGTTTATCCCCTAGGAAATCCTCTTTAGGTCCCGGGGCTATTTCTAATACTAGGAAAACGATATGTACCCCTGGGATCTTCAGTTTACGTTCCCTGGCTGAATACGAAACTGGCTCTGGGAATACATTGACCAGACCTGGGAGCTGTGGAGCCCCTGGGAGCTTACTTTAGGGTCCTAGAGTCAATAGCTTGCCTTCCGAGATCGCCGAAAGCCCTCACAAAACACCTTCACCGGACCTGCGCACAATTCTGCGTCATTGGATCCCCCCAGGAGACCAAATCATCGCCCCAGGAATCAACAAGTTGTCAACAGGAACGCGGCTTTGATTCCCCGTGGTGGGGATAGCAGACCCCAGAAGCTACATCGGGTTTCCTGGGGGCTACGTGGCTCCTAGAAGCTGCTTCTTTGCTCCCAGGAATGTTTTAGGAGCCCCTGGGAGTAAGATAACTCCCAGGGTCAAGAGATGAGCTCCTGGCACCGATAGAACCGTCAACAGGAACGTGACTGGTTTCTTGATAAACATCTCCCTAGATTACAGAGCCCCTTCCTGCAGGCAGACAAGAGGCGAAAGCAGGAATAAGTAAGAAGTAACGAGGCAGAAGCCAGACAGGAACAAGATAACGGTGTTGGATTATAAGAATAATTCCATTCAATGCCCGAGTTCCGATCCTGAACTTTACATATGGCATTGAATCAGCGCCACCAATGCCACCAGCACGTCTTGTCTAATCTGGAGAGCCCAACTACATCATCCAAGTCCTCCAATATGTAGCGCGAACAACACGGTATTCCACGTTCAACGTCTCGGGTTTAGTGCTCACTCTATGGTAAGCCAAAATCAGTGAAGTGTTCCAGGTGTATCGAGGCAAATGTAGCGTACTATGGGCAGTGCAGAACTTCGATCCGCTCTCGGCCCACGTATTACAGCCTTGCTTAACACACTTGATGGCGGGACTTGGCATCTTGGGCTGGTGAAGTAGGGACTTCAAATTGATTATGATGGAGAAATTGTTTGAATACAATAGAGAAACGCAGTAGTAAAGCAGTAGAGTATCTTCGAGCAGCTCCGGGGAAGAACCTACTATTTGAGGTCCAGTCCACCAACACGAATGCAATGCTGCCTGCTGATGCATGCGATACCTCCCAAGGTCTGACGCTGCTACTGCATCAGTCACACTGCCAAGCCTGACATTGGCCTATGAAGTCTGGTAGCCCAGCGCCGCGGCTGAAAGTGTCCCATCATCATACCTGATAAGCACGGGGCCCAGGAGCAAGCTCATGTCCTCGAAAGTCACGTACCATTGATTGTGACAAGGGTTGCAGCTAAATCGGATCTAGTCTTCTATGCTGACAAGGCCTGTGCGTATATGATGATGACCACTGCGTCAGTAAAGGACACGTGTCAATCGTACACGGTCTATGCAAGTTTAACATTACTTATTCAGCACGGGTCATTCCAGCCACCAGGAGGGGTCGTTCTAGGGTCTTAACGGATAGATACAAGGCTCGACATTATCGTCTCTGCTTCGCTATTTCACGATATCCCCGTTCAATTTCGAACAATGGCAATTTGGCATTGTGATTTTGACGGTTGCAACAAACCTTCTGTTCGCACGTATGGGGACTGCGTCCTTTGTGATCTCCATCTTTGCGCGAAACATTTGGGGCCAGAGTATCATACGTGCCCAAAGTGGGAGGTTTGTGAATCAAATCCTACAAATTGAAATGGCTACTGATTTTTTTCGGTCTGAACAGGATGAGCATCATTACGACCCTGCTGCTCAAGAGGCTGAAAAGAAAGAAATCACGACTCTTATTGAAAAGATCGATATTTTAGCGCTCACTCGACGTGCTAGCAGTCTCCGCGGCGGTCTCGCGTGCTCTGTAGCCCAGGGTCTACAATATGACAGAGCATTGCGTAGCTCAGTTATGGGAGGCATGAATTATCATATCGAGATTTTATTCGAGGATGGGAAAAGCTGGCTCGCGCGTATCCGAAGATTCAACGCTACTTCCCCACCCCCGGAGTTGCGGGATTACATACTGCGCAGCGAAGTCTCAACATTGCAGTTCTTGAGCAAGACAAAAGTTCCTGTTCCTACGGTTTTTGACTTCAATGCAGACGAATCAAACCCTGTCGGTGTTGGTTATATCCTTATGGAGAAGTTGCCTGGGAAATCATTGCGCTGGTCAATTACTACCCCTGAGCAGAGGCAAAAAATTGCTAGTCAGCTTGCGGATATTTACATTGAACTGAAAAGTTATCCCTTCTCGGTAATTGGCTCTTTCAATCAGCAGAACTCTTCTCATGTGGGCCCCATCGCACGAGAGTCATTGACCGACTTTCAGGACTTGCATATGAAAATGCTTGGGCCCTATTCGTCTTCAGAAGAATACTTCACCGCACACATTCGATTGATATTGGATTTGATAATACGACAAGAATCCTACGTCAACCGCCCAGTCGATGCTTTCTTGATACATCGTTTTCTCCTAGAAATTATCCCCAAAATCTTTTCAAGAAACTCTTTCGACGATGGGATGTTCTACTTGAAACATGCGGACGAAAAGGGGGATCAGATCCTCGTTGACAACGACTACAACATAACAGGCATTATTGACTGGGAATGGGCCCAGACTGATTCGAAATCAGCAGCTTTCAACTCGCCAATTGTGCTTCTTCCGGTTGCGGATTTTTACGAAGGGGCTGATCATATCGGCGAAGATGAAGCTTTCTTTGCCAAGTGCTTGGAAGAGAAAGGACATCCAGATCTTGGGGAGATAGTCAGAAATGGGCGGCTTCTTCATCGAATCCAATTCTGTTGTGGATATGACCTCGATGATTGGGACGGATTCATTGGGCTCTTTTTCGGGCTACTCAAGACCTTGGGCATCGAAGGCGATTCAAACTGGGAAACCTGGAAAGCGGAGGCCATGGAAAGCTATCGAGGAGATTTTCAGCTAAAGCAACTCCTCAAACTGTCCGAAGCTGAATGAAAGGGGACGCATTTTCAATCATATGACATACGCTTTATTGTGACAATTCGCGGTATGAATCTAAATACTGCGCCCAAATTAGGCTCATAGAATTACTTGCAATAGAATAAAACCAGAAGGCCTTTTCGTATGGAGGCACGGTTTGTCTAGAGTCGATCTCCTCTTGCCCCTCCAAGGCGGACAAAAGAGGAGGCCAAATCTAGACATAGCAATCATCGTAATCTGAAGGCCGGGCCACCAGTCCTCTTGCCTAGCGACTCGCCTTCTCACAGTGCTTGCCGGATTGACACGGATCCTGTTCTCCAACCGTTTTGTAAGTCCCCTATTCCAATATTCTTCCCGTATCTATCTATCACCCTAGCAATGTCAAACGCTAAATTTCGCCTCAAGTTCTTTGCCAGAAAATACGCAGCCTCCGCGCGGTCTTCTCATTGATTACCGCTACCCGAAGTCTGTGTCGATCAGAGCATTACCAAGATGTTTGTCATCCATTTCCTCCTTACTAGCAAATGGTCTTACTTTACGGCGGCTTGTCAATGCAGGTCGTGTGCCCAAAACAACCGATACAACCTTGGCATTCTTACTGCGGAGATGTCTCAATATCAAAAAGGCAAAAAAATAAAATAAAATAAAAATTCAAAGATCCGGAACGGGGATATTTGAGCAATAACTCAAAACCGAGTAGTACCGTTAGAAAATTCCAAATGCATAAAACTGTTCCAGCAAACCCGCATCGCCAATCCAACTGCAACAGCCCGAGTCCTCTTCATAAACGGTGGATGGGAAACCTGACCGACTTTGAATTAATACGCATACTGTGGTTGGAAAAAAGTCTACACACCTGAACTTCAATCATCCGTGTTTTAGTTTTTTCAAGCCCACGTTTTATAAAAAGGAAATTCCAAGGGATGCTTCTAAGAGAATAGAAGTCGGTCGCATAACCGCGCGGGGACGAGTAGCCGTTTCAATGTAATACCCCGAGGCCAGGCAACCATAGTTCCAGGCAGGAAAATATGATATATCCGATCATGTGATAACAGCTGCATGTCGCTTTGATCAGTCCGCACGATCTTCCTGCGTGAGCATGATGATTGTAGTTATATCGACAAAGAATGGCTTAACTGAACGCTCCTAGGTGTTAACGATATCAAGGATGAAGAAGTATTTTCGGCTAGAGTGTTAGCTCACCAGCTGATCTTCAATTCTTGCCACTGCAGGTTGGACATGCAATACCGTTCACGGTCTTTTTGCCTCCGCAGGTTTCACATGGGGCCATCTTCGTCCTCGTCAAGGTGAAAAGTAGGTAAAGAAGTAGATTCTTGAAGGCTTGAGCGCTAATTTAAGAGCAAGTCAGGAAAACCTCATTAGTTCTGTGAGCAAAAGGCTGATGTTCTTTCTGCCCAACGGCGGCGGCCCTGCTCGGTATTTATTGGATTCCGGCCGATTTCTCGGATTCTGACTAATCGAGCTTCCGCCGAACCATGGGAAAAGTTGGGTGGACCTACCTCTCCTCGGCACCCCATCCTCAATAATGTCAAACACACAACCACAGTGTGCTTGCTCAGCCTTCTTTGAAACAGAATTAAATCTACTCGAGCATTTGGAAGAATATCGTGTTAGTAACGCTAAGATAAGTCGTGTCACTTAGCTGACTTCTTCCAGTCCCGCGAACAGCGCCTACAAGCCGAACTCGAGCGGTGTCGAGCCCATTCGAGGCCCAATGGTGATGACTGTCGAGGGAAGGACGACAACGACCAAGGCGAGAGCGACGATGACCAACATATTTATGACAAAGATGCCGGAAATCCTATGAGCACTATAAGGAAGACTGGAGCTTCCAAAGGGCGTTTCTGTCCATCCTGTGAACGTGCGAAGCCATTTCCGAAAATGCAGGGACTCCGGCGGCACTTCCAACAACGCAAGTGGTGTCCTCTCTGACGCGCTGCTTTCTATTAATTATTAATTCAGATGTCACATGCGAGGAAGTTTGTGTGTGCTGTTTTAAAGTTTTCAGGCTCGTGAGCGAGTTCATTAGACATGCCGATAGACATGATGGAGCATGCGAAAGAAAACGGTCATTCATCAAGAAAACATGTGATGAGTTACGCGAACAATCCGACAAACAACTAGCTCTCGCAATGAGCCAGTGTCGATCAAGCGTTCTTGTGGGGAAGAAACGGAAATGGGAAGTGGCAGCTTTGGGCTCCGATATTTCGGGAGCTCAAGCCAAGTTTGACAGGATCGGTATGACGGCTTTGGACCAAAGTCTTTTTTCCCAAAGCAATGAGGGTGACAGTTTTCGCCAGCTCGGCCAGGCTCGCGATGAACTATCTGCACCCCTAATCCCGATGCAGTCGCCCATAGCCTTACCCCGGCTGAGCACCATGGTTGATACCGTCAATCCTAACAGCTCTTCGAACATGTCAACGGAGGAAATCTACTTCAATCCCGGAGAAGGGCAAACCCAAGATCTCGACTTGCTACAAGATTTTGATGCTCCTATCCTTCAGATTATGAACAGTATCCCGGCATTGTCGACCGGATGGGCGGCTCAAGATGATTTTGTGGATATAACCACAGAAGCTGCAGTATACCGTGAATAATGAGGGCTAATTCTTTGTGCTTCCACCAGAACCCTCAAACGTGAAGTTCAGTCCAATTTTCGCGCTCAGCATCTCTAATTCCCTGACTTTATGTTCCAGTCCTTCTGAGTGTGGAAGGATCATTTTCGCCCAGTTGGCGATCACTTCATCCGTGGCAAAAAGAAACGTAATGGCATATCCCTGCTCGATCTTAAAACCGAGTCTAGCGTCTAGAATCACCCTACGGTTGTTAGATCCTGACACTATAATATAAATATATTACTTACAAGCCACCATCTGGAAAATCCTTCACCTCGGGCTTAGAGCCCACACGATCCAGCTCGGATTGGGGAATCTCATATAAGGATCTTCTCCCCTTCGTAGTCGCCAAGTCGCAAAGATGCGAAAGGGTATAATACTCCGCTCGCGATCCTTTGGCCCACAGATGCACCATTAGAACACGGCGACCAGCTTTTAGACCACCCCTCCTGAAGCATTCGACATGGCCAGGAAATTCTTCGTATCTCAGCCAGTGTCCGAGGCTGCACCGTTCAAGGGAGGTTTCGAGGATAGATCGGATTCGCTGAAGATGATTAGATGGTAGCCACGGAGATGTATCATTCTGCTTACTTCGTCAAAGGCAAATTGCTTGCAAAAGTCCATACCATATTCGGTGAGGTACGGGAAGCCCCGCCTCTCCATCTCCAAGACATGCTCGCCAACCGTAGAGTCATTCAAATCAAAGAATCCCTCCTCGAGGAGAGACTTCCTTGCCACATCTAGCTTGAATGCGGATGATGCCATAACTGAGACTGGCTGTGCCTGAAGCCGATGATGCGAACAGCTGCGGGGCAGTGGTCGGTTGAAGCTATCCGGAAAATTAATTTTCAATAACCGTCAAACCCCAGCCCCACTTCTGTCTCGGGCGTTCCCGTTCCTACTTGTCCGTTTTCGCAGTTAGGTAAGTCAGGGGAAACACAGTTTTGTGGTACCCTCTACAAGGATCACAGTTTTGTGATACCACTACCTACGGGGAAGTTATCTGTCAGGGAACACAATCCTGTGATGCCGTTCCACAGGGATCACAATTCTGTGATCATCGCTGCAATTGGTCGCCAAGTCTACCGCGTCATTAAGCTGGTGCTTCCGATACCTACAGAGCTAAGAACGACACCACGATTTAGTGGTTCGATGCAAAAGCGACGCCACCAACTGAATAATACCTGAGCCTATCCAATTAAAATTAGCAGTTTCCTTCGTATATCATGCATGCACCGTACAGTGCACTTCTATGCAGCTAAACGCTGAATGTGAGGGGAAGCAAAATCTTGAGCTGTGAGTATAATCTTGGATAACACAGAAGTCCAGAGTAACGAACACTTAAGAAGGAGCAATTCCTCAGGCTCTTATTGACCTTTCCCTTCATCATTGGCATTCCAGTCTCTTGGGCCACTCCATACCAGCTTCCCATATCGCACCGATATTTTTCAGTCGTTCAAATTGCTCAACATGGCACTGAAGACTCCCTCCTGCCACCAAGGCTTGACACCACCCAATAGCCCAACGAAGGAATCGACTATACCTCTTGCCACCTTGAAGGATTTGATGCATCTCTTTGGTGTGTTTCTTGAAAATGCGCTGCTTGATCTTACCGACCAAGAACCGCCAAACACCCCTATCTCCCAGGACCAGTCCCCACCAATCCCTGATATGGTTCGACTGAAGCAACTGCTGGTGAACCTCACCAGTGATGAATGTGCTTCGGCTGAACTCTCCATGGCAGCCAAGCCTGATCATTCTTGTCCTGCAAGCAATGAACAGGAGGACATTGCGGTAGCAGATGGAACAGATCTCAAACATCCAATCAGTACGACGCCGGATGACTTCAAATTGTTTGAGAAGTGGGCATCTACACCCTCATTCAAAGCAGTTGTCGAAACGTATGAGCCACCAGCCAATCTCCCCTTCTAATTCCTTCAGAAAATGGCTGACCCGGATCTAGCTGGGACAAAGAAGCATGTAAATACAAGATTGTCGAACCGGCGGAGACCAGCAGTGGTCTGGACGATTATGCTGAATATGCATTCGTTGTCCGTGAACGTGTTGGTACGTAATGTTTTGCCTGGAAACCGAGACCAGACTAATGGTATAATTAGAACGAAATTCTGAGGAGGTGACGCCGTACATTGACATCAAATCGGAAGGCCTGCGCGACATCCTGCGTGAGGTGCTGCATGATATCAAGGCCATTAGCCTGATGGAAGACAAGCCATCGGTAATTGAGACAGAGTATTATCTCCACGAAGATCGCTGACATTGGTTAGATCGAGCAAAATATCCTTTTCCATTTCCTCCCAGAGCTCGGCAAGTATGCCGAAAATATGGACAACTCGGACTGTGAATTCCCACGTCAGCACCTCCGCTTGCTCATCGACCACCTCAAGCAAGCATATTCAGCCACCTCGCAGCGTCTCGAATCAATGCTACAGTACGGTCATATTACATATGACCTTCTTTGGGCGCTTTTCAAGCCTGGTTGCCATGTTTATACCACATGCATTGGCACAAAAGAGCCGCGATGTGTCAGACTCGAAGCGGGGGAAGAGATGACACAAAATGACGAGACGTGGTGGAATCTCGAGTGCCGATTCTTTGATTATGACGGAGTCAAGTTCGGCGAGGCCGGAATGTTTCTGCGTCTGGCAAAGTTCCGGGGGTCAAAGCCGATCGAGAGTCTTGAGGCCTTCCCTCTCCGCTACCATCCAAGGCACGGCCAAGTCCGGAAAGACTTGGTCGAAAGAGGCGAAAAGTTTCGCGATTTGGCCGGCTCACACATTCGGCACTGTAGAGGCAGCGCGTTCTTTATGAACAAGGGGAAGGCTATCAAAGTCAACGTCAACAGTCGAGTGGGAGTGGACGCCGCATTTTTTCATGAAATGCAGCCAAACTACTCCCGACCTTCACTCCGCGACCTAGGGGTCAAGGAAAAGGATGGAATTGCAGTTATTAACATAGGTGCGATGCTCAAGGAGGATCGCGAGCGGGAGAAGGAGAGAATGCAAGGAGACGGAGTGGATGCACAAAAACTGAGCGAGACCGATTTCTTGGTCGCCTGCCCAACAGTATGCTGTTTCAGCTTCAAGGAGAAGATTTTCTGTATGTAAGTCTACTGACAATGTTTGGCGTCCGACTAATGTGATTTCAGTGGAGTGCGCAGTCAGTGCTCTTGAAGACGTGGATTGGTCACCTGAGTCGTTCGACTGCTTGAAGATCCCTTTAGAGACCAAGACCATCCTCTTGTCATTGGCAAAAACCCGCCTAGGGATGATACCGATGGTACCGTTCGACGACGTAGTTGACGGAAAGGGCCAAGGATTCAACATTCTTCTGAAGTATGTCGGCGAAGCGCCTATACTATCAAGACTTCCAACTAACTCGTGCTAGTGGCCCACCGGGAGTCGGTAAGACTTTCACGGTTGAGGCAACCTCGGAGTATTTCAAGCTCCCCCTCTATTCGGTATGAACTATCCAGCTCGGCTGATTTTGGCGTCACTGATTTTTTCAGATATCCGCAGGCGAACTTGTTGTAGACCACGGAGATTCCAACGCGCTCGAGCAGCAACTTGAAACAGTATTTAAGATCGCGAAACATTTTGATGCCGTCCTTCTCTTGGATGAGGCAGACGCTTTCATGGAGCAGCGTACCTCATACCACGATACCCACAATCGCCTTGTGACCATTTTCCTCCGAAAGCTGGAATATTATCAAGGAATTCTTTTCTTGACGTCAAATCGGGGTATCCAGTTTGATGACGCAATTCTAAGCCGGATCCATTTGACCATCGAGTATGAAAATTTGACGAGAGAGTTTCGCAGAGATCTTTGGTCAACCTTTCTGTCCAAGGCATGTACGATGCAAGGACCTGCCGTCGTTGAGGAGTACGATCTCCGACGATTGGAGTCTTTAACTCTAAATGGGCGAGAGGTGGGTTCCAGAGAGCTGCTCTGCACTTCTCACTTGTTGACTAACATGAACTAGATCAAGAACATCGCAGCAATCGCACATGCTCTCGCTGAGGCTGACGTCAATCAGGTGACCTACAAATACTTGGAGTTAGCAGCCGATTCCAATAAGAAGTTTTCAAAGGAGTTTGGCAAAGAGAGGCCTGTTGATGGAATGTATGTCTAGTAGCATACCTGGGAAAGTCCTGTGGATTATCTCGTTTCTCAAGGTTGTCGAGCAGTCGGTCTCTTATTGCAATATGTTCGATTAGTACTGCACACGACAGTCCAATATATCGTTACTGAAGCTTCATAGTTGAATCAACGTTTTCATATCATTCATCACCTCACACAAAAGTCAAGTGCGAGAGCCAGAATTGGACGGTCAGTTTGTCATTGTCAACACATATAGAAGCAGAGTCCCTCTTGGGGCAATGTAGGTGAAGTGGAAAAGCGGGCATCAAGGATCGATAATAGGTCGAAGTTCTGGTTGATTCACGAGGATGTGGACTGGAAGTGCTTCATGCTTCATTATCATGCATACTTGAACTGCTAATCCAAAAAATAAGCATATTGCTTCCCGTTACACAAAGACGTTTTGGATCTCCCATCTCTGGTTGACATAGTTGTCGTTGTACCGCTCGTGATCGCTGCAAAGTCGGTCGACATTTCAATATATACCGGTGAAAGTCGATGATCAATGCCCGGCCTAGTTCTTTATTCCAAAGAAAATTGTCACGCCGAAAATCTTCGTGAGTGATTCCTTTGTTGATTTGCGAGTCTCCTGGTGGAGCCAAGGCGTCAAGTCCATCGATGCTGTACTTCCGGCCCCCCCCCCCTCCTCCCCCCGCCAGCCCATCATGAGCATATGACGAATCTCTCCAGCTCCATAAAGAAAATAGATTTCGGCCAAGTCGATCGTGCCCAGGAAAACAGGCACAGCAGACCCATGGGTTTTCCGTTTGCAGCAGTTGTCTCTTTGCTCGTGGTCTTTGGAGCTGGCCAAAATTCAATTTTCTAGAGGCGTAAAAGTCGATGATTGTTGCCCGTTCGAGCTTTTCATTCCAAAGGACCTTCATATCTCGAAAGTCTTTGTAAATGATTCCCAAGGCCCCTTGATTTCCTGATTCGATCTGTGAATTTCCAAGCGAAACCAAGGCGCCAGCTCCATGACACTGTACTTTCTTCCCTATGGACATCACGAACAAATGATGTAATCTGAAGGTGCAGATGTAAATGTCCATGAGCCTAGGGGCCGTCATGTGCATACAGCAGTTGAGCTGGATAGGAGCCTTTGTCTGCTTTTCCCCTCCCCGACGCGATGACCATGCCGCGTGTTGCCAGAGGTTGGTTCAAGTGCCCGAGGGCGCTTCACCCATTTCACGTCCTCCAAGTCAATGACTATCAAACGACCGCCCAGGTCATCCCACAACATATTACGCCACTCACTGTCGCCATGGACCACCCCGTGTGAGCGGAGCACAGCCAGGGCCTTCTCGCGCTCCTTGTGGAAGAAACTCGAGTTGTCATCGTTGATGACGTGCTGAAGCCTGCTTCCTGACCAGCTTAGGATCATCATCTGCTCCATTAGTTCGCCGTGGTACCAATATGAGACTCGTGGCGTAAATGTCCCAAGACAGACGGGTATGTGTTTTCCCTGCAGGCTCCTGAGATAACCATAATTGTCTGCCTCTGCTTGAATGAGATGCTGCTTGTCCGCCGTGGTAGCCTTGATTATCACAGTGTATCCGTGTAATAGAAGAGTGGCTTTGATGAGGTAACCGGTCCGACCACAGACGTGGAGTTGTTCAAACCCATGATTTCGGTTTCGGGCAAGTTGACGGTGAAGCCGGCGTGTGAACTCCTGTGGTCCCATGGTGTGCCTCTGGCTACCGTGGAGTTTCCAGTTGGGGCATTCTTTATCCAGCGGGTCTCGGTTGACCATGCCACGGATGCAGGCAATTGTGCAGTAGGGTCGTGTTGACTGCCCGTCTTTCCGAGAGGTCTGTTTGTTGTCCCCACCGGCTCGTGTGTTTTCGCTTTCCTTAGTCGATTGACGGTTGTTGCCTCGGCCGCGGCTCGAGCGGCTGGGAGCAGCTGCTGCGATGGATGGCGAATGCGATTCTTCATCACTGCCGCTGCCTTCGGTCGACGAATGCTTCGGAGTAGACATGCCTGGTTGGCAGTGAGCACGGGATCGTGTATTGTGTGTCTTCGGCTCTAGTTTCCAGTGCGAGGGCCGATAATTGGAGGCTGGCGGGTCTTTGCGGAGCGTTTCGGGAATTTTTCTCAATACGTCCAGGTATTCGACCTCCCAAGTCTTCAGCTTGTCGTGTGCCGCATCATGCCACTCTTGAGACGGAGCTTCGGCGGCCAGCGCTTGGAGGGTGAACGCAAGCACTTGACCAATGGCTGTCCGGTGGAGGCGCCACTCATCGTTCACCTGCACATCTTGATTCGGGATACATAAGAAATATTGAACAATAGTGGGATCATCCTTCGGGATATGGAGAAAAACAAAAGCCTCCCCCGTGCAGATGTAGCCGTGTTGAATTCCACTGTCGATCATGTATGAGAATATCTGAGTGACCACTGCCGCGACGAGGCAGGTGGCATAGAACTCAAAAGTGTCGCCTTCCTGATCAATGACATCGCGAGCGAGATCCATCTGATGTAGACCTGACACCCATTCGGGGATTGTCACCTTGTGTGGCGCTTTGAACTCCACCGCATACACCGGTTTCTGTCGCTCGTTGGCCACAACGTGCACGCAGAACTGGTCGGCGCGGCGGTTGCGTCTTCGTGCAGTGGCAGCCCTCTTCTGGCCCTGCGCCGCTCCTCTCCCCCTTCCTCTGCCTTTCCCATGCCTGGTGTTCGGTGGTCGCTGGGGCCGCACGTCCTGGGGATTCATCTGCTCCAAGCTATATTCCAGCGAGGGTTCCGCTGGGTTCGCGCGGTCATAGAAAGCGACTCGTCCCTGGATGTCAAACTCGTGTCGAAGAGTTTCGTCGTCTCGTAACTTCTCAATCACCATTTCGACAAAGTTGTCGACCCTGTCGCGCTCAAAGTTCCGTAGGGACGCTTCTGAATAAATCGGCTTGTTCTGGATATTCGTAGCGACATAGTCCAATTGGGTGTCAGAAGGGAAGAGCGGACGCGAGGTAAAGGCGGCCGTACGGTCGAGTTTCTTCCAGACTTGCTCTTGGAGTCGGGGGAAGTCAAGCCAAGGAACAATGCGCTTGGGGTAGAGTCGGTTGACGGGGTCAGTCGCGTCACCCTGGGTCGTCAGGGTCGCATCCGTCTCAACTCGTATCGCTTGAGATAAAGAGCTGTGGCAGCGATCGAGAAGATGAAACAGTGTGTTGGGCTGCACTCGCAGCTCTGACTCTCCTCGGCGCCGCTCTGCCTCTTCTCGCGCCCTCCTCTCTTCTTCTCGCGCTTGTCTCTCTTCCTCAAGCTGGCGTCGAAGCTCAGCGATTGTATCCTCCATCCCTCGTCTCCTTCATCCCTTGTCAGAACTTGTGTTTCCAATGACAAGATCGCATTCAATACAGCAGGGGGCTATCGTCTGCCTTAGAGGAACGAACCGTCACGGGCTATGCGCATGACGTTTGTGCTGGTTTTCAGTCACTGATTCCAAGATGCTCGATATACGTTGACAAAGTCGTTTCGGGCTACCTAGACTGGCCTCATCAGTGGAACACCCAGCTAAAATACACCCGCATATTCTGAACGGAGACATGTCTTATCTGGAAGACAAGTCCATCTCTTCAGCTTTCTCACGATCCGTCAACCTCAAAGATAATCGAGCTGACAAGCTTCTCATCATATGTTCAACATTTTTCCGGTTCATTGATGATCTCAATTCACCGTTAACTACCGTCCACGAATGCTTGATTAAAATCGGCTGGCAGGCTTCTAAGTTCAACGTATTGCGTACCTCATCTTTGGACATGCTGACTTCAACATTCTGTCTGAACTCATTTCAACAGTTGGCTCGCTAATATAAATGCGGAGCCAGGGAGGACCTTCATGGCTCACATGCCGGTATTCAACGTTGAAAGTCGAGTTTATTGAATATGACCTAGCTAGTCAACCATAAAGATCTTCAACATCACCGTTTGGTCATTCGTAAAGGTCTGGTAAGTCATGGATGCAAACCAGTTTATTGTCACATTTTCGATATATCAAGTTTGACCTTTCCCTCATGCAATCATACATGAGGATGTCACTGTCTTTGCTCACCACAGTCAACGGTTTCAGGGAGAATGCCTCAGAGAAAAGCCCGGGCGCCGTATAAATAACAGGCGTACGACCCAGAGACACAAAAAACCAATAATTCATTCTGCTGCAGTGCTCCAAACGCGTACCTAACGATGAGTTATCACACCGACGAGGATCCCATGGATCAAGATAGTTGTACGAGCACGAGCGACGAAGCGAATCTGCAGCTGGATCGTGAATTACAGCAAAGCCAAGGAACCAGTCGCACAGCGACTGAGCCGTCACGGCAAACTATCCCAGTTGGGATTTCACCTGTCTATGTGAAAGGTTGGGACACTACCGATGCTTTTCGCGAGCTGTATCAAAACTGGTATGTGGCATTCACTTCTATTGGATAACCACTGAGAGAGAACAGGAAAGATGCCATTCTGGGAAGATTTCAGCTAAACCGGTTGGATTTCAAGCCATTCTTTGAAGACAAGAAAGACTATTTCTCCATCATAGTTCCGACTACCTCGAATGACAACGGCGATCGGCGAGCTCTGGGGTACATCAAATATGAGAAAAAGACCGGCCGAGTCATCTTGACCAATTCCTGCATGCAACTTCCCGTAGAGTCTCTCGTGATGGGGTTCACATCCAAGGACAACCACGACTAGCTGGCAGGCTCCCATGGTGAGGGGCTCAAGCTGGCTGCGTTAATACTGAGTCGAGACGGATACAAAGTGAGCGTGGCTGCAAGCCACTGTAAGTGGAGTTTTGGCCTGCATGGGACGTACCAGTCTCTCCGTTGTGTCATTACTCCTTCCCGCAAGATGAGTCCCGCCACTCAACGAGAGCCAGCTGATGATATGGCAAAGTTGCGTTTCCAGGTTGAAAGAGACATTACGGTGGTTATTGGGGCTGGGCGTGCCAATCAAAGTCGACCGGTCTCATCTGAAACGTTCTTCGGGTGGCTGCGAGTCACTCTCGACATCCGCGGGCTCTCCTATCCCTCCTCGATTATAGAGACACCTCAAGGAGACTTGCTTCTGGATCCGCAGTTTCACGGAAGGCTTTTCCTTCATGGGATCCTGCTACCAATGACTACACCAGGGGTCAAGCACTACAAGTTTGGTTACGACTTTGCTCTGGGTAAGTTCAGCCGTGATCGACAAGGAATGGTCGCCAAGTGTGAGGTGGCAGATCAGGTGCGGCAAATATGGCAGTGTGCCCTGCACATGCACGAGCAAACTTTACTTCCAATTTATGTCAATCTCCTTCAGAACTTTCCCCAGGTGGGCGATATTGAACAAGCCGATAGACTTTTGGGACCGTCTACCAAGGCCCGTATCTGGAAATACTTGCTTGATGTGACAAGAAGAAAGAGATTCTTTTATAGCGAGACATCAAGCGTCCAAGTCAGTTCACGGTGAAATGTTCAAGCTGGATATGCAATATACTAACCTCGAACAGAGTGTGCGCATGATACGAGAAACCACCGGGAAGAGGCCAACGAGGCTTCCAGAGGCCCTCTGGAGCCTGCTGCGCTCAGGTTCACCGATCCGGACTGTCAAGGAGGAGCAGATAGAGCTTTTCAAGGATGCTGAGACTTGTGCTTCGCCCGAATCTGCCTTTGCAAAAACAACAGACTGGGCTTTGAAGGCTTGTCTGGCACTTTTGAAGGCGACCAAACATATCAAAGTACTCTATGTCAAAGGACTGACAGGGAAGCTTGATGTGTTATACGACGCCGGACACGGTACGTTGAAAATTCATCATCGATGGTTGGACTTCGATGCGACGCACCAGGAAGCATCGTGTCGGAAATGGTTTCCTGCTGCCATAACCGAAAAGAATGCGCCGTTTTTCTGCGGTCACGTCGTAGAGGAGCTCTTGTATCTGTCCATTTCTTCGATCTTTAAAGCATCCTCGACGCTGCGCATGACTGAGATGAAATACATGCGTCAGATCAGACGTCTGCTTCGAGTTTTGCCGCATAGCATCAAACTCAGACCCCACTCGGGAGGCCTTCTGGTCACCTGGGAAGACAATGAGGCAGAATCGTTTCGAAAACTTGGTGGAGGTGGGCCAGAGTACCGAGTCGTCCTCCATGCAGAAGAGTGTTTCATCGCCAGATCGGAGCTTCTCCACTCGGAAGCAGGTAAGTTTGTCAGTTTAAAACCCCTGCGCGTGAAAGAAACCGAAAGCTGAAATGTCAGACAGTACCGAGATCCATGGCATCCGCGTCGTGTGGGTGCCGTCAGCAATTTGTTGTCCAGGCGCGCCGATGGTGTGTCTTTGCCGCTTTGGATAATTCCACAAGGTATTATGCGATGATCTCTCTCAATGAACGGTTGGCGATCTATGGCCTTCCATCTGGGCTGGTGTCACCTCGTGGCCCAAGCATGGGTGGGCCAGACCACATAGCGTGCAATCTGGATCGATCTCCTTTCGTTGGTCGCCAACACGAAGACAGGAATTTGGAGTTACAGACCAACCTAGTCCCACTTCGAGTTGATCCAGCTCCATATCAGGGAACAAGCAAACGGCAAAGAGTCTCGAAGTTTCAAAGGGATGAATGAATCCGTACTCGAAATTAATTGGAACCCAACTCTGGGATACCAGCAGATGCTTCATTGAGCTTGGGGCCAAAGTATGAGGTCCAAGAGCTCACACATAAGACACAACGGCGGGACACGTCGAGGTCGGGAATAACAGGCAAAGGCTTCTATCCAGTTCAACCGCTGTCTACACATGACGGCCCTCACTTTCCAGGTCCAATGCGTTAGTTGACTCAACTGGTGTATATCCCGCCGCAGTCGACACACCGGAATGGAAATTTTACGGTTGTGGCAGATTTATGAATCAAAGAACCTGTAGCTTTTGCAACCAAAAGCAACTTTGACTGGTTGCGCTGAACTGCTGTTCCAGCTAAGTCCTACGTAATAGAGTCGAGAAAACACGTTTCATATTCTACATTAATATGCGAGTTCACTAACAATTGGTTGATTTGTCGGTCGGGATTATCCTCCCCTATGCCCAATCATTAGAGAGGTATGAACGCTACCGTGGCTATATGTCACCGTGCGCATATAAGGTAGTGTTATCAACGTAGGATGAGATATTTTGTCGAAATTGTCTGCTATTATTTCGATGTGAGTCCATATCCATCCCAACGTAGCCCTGGTTTCACTGGCCAATGCCAGCCCAATGTATTTATTCTGTTCGGCATGAGCTTTTTCTATCCCTCAATATAGGAAGCACGTACTGCGGCTACGGATATTGCGGAGACGAAAACAAGAACCAACAATCGTGCCATTTCACGCCATCGTTTCAAATGATTGTCCCGAAGGCTTGTATTATGTGGGCTTTGAGGGTAATTTTCTGGCTGTGCAGCGGTTTGAATGGGGTTTTCCGATTCCAAAAAGGGAATTTCTCCGGTGCTCGCGTTCCCGTCGCAAACTGAATATTTCTCTGTCTATGTCTTAATAATTCTGCGAGATCGGTCCATCGAAGCGACCAAAATGGCTCCTTCGCGCATCCACCGGGCCAGGCGAGCTTCCTCGGCTTCTCGCCGTCGATATTTGGTCTCAATCCCGTCGCAAAAGGAGCACTTTGTACTCTTTGTTTCGGTCTTGTTGACTAGTTTGATGCCGCATGTCTCACCGATACGGTACTCTTAGGTGCGCTGGTGAGCAAAGCTAGTCCAGCTCCAGTCTCCGCATGAGTATCGTTTCTGATTGTAGAAACACATGTCTAACAGATTTGCTAGGGCCTCTTCGGTCGTAAGGTCCGGTCAAAAGGCACTTGCTCTTCGATGTTCGGAAAGATCTTCTCCAACCTGGGAAATGGGTATGCAAATTGTTTTGTCTGATCAATTCTCAGCTAACGCACTTCATGAAGTAGGATTGAATCGGAAGGGTAAGGTCCTTGGAGTGGGATAGACTACCTGGGTTTCCTTATATAGCTCATAACAACGCAAGTCAATTATAGGAATGCTGATGGTCCAAAAGGAGACGCCAGCAATCAATTTTGTTTTGACTGGGAATCCCTTCTCTGCTCAATCCATTTAACCTGCCCCTATGCAGTACACAAATGCGCAAGATCACATCCTTAGACAACCACTAGGGCCTATTTAACATTGCAGCAAGTGATGTAGGTCTCGAAAAATCATATACATCGCTAGGGTGCCAAGATAATTCCAGTCAGTCTCTGGGCACACGGGCCGTTGATGGTTTAGCGTATCGGGGATATCGGAATTTGTCCCGGCTACGCACTAACGACCAGGTATCTTTCTCATGGTACAACCAACCAATGGACAACCCCAAAAATTTGCCTTTACTTCCTGCCGGTATGGCGCATCGAGTAGTGCGGATGGTACGAGCTTCTCAATGCCTTTGGCTAGTTTCCACAAATCCTGAAATTGTTGTACGAATATGGCCGTGCTGCGGCAGATCCCGACCATGTCGATCACCGTCAGCGCCTTAAGATTGGCCGGGCCTCTCTAACTTTGGCCCCCACGTTGGAGCCATGGATCGTCGATCATACTACGGAAATTTGAAAGTAAAGAGCTCCCTGCCCATTGCCTTGAGCAGCTCCCTATGCTCGTAGAAAGTATTTCCAAAATGGCTCACATTCTTGGTTTCCCACCTAGATACTTTTGAATAGTCAAGCTACTCGGCCATACCCATGGCATGCTTCCATCTGCGCGGTGTTGCCTTTAACGTCCCCAACTCTTCGAAGGCAAATGGGGCCGAAAACAGAGCCACTGAATCTCAGGGGTAAACATCAAGGGGGTTCCACCGTACACGGACCAAGGCCCGGCCAATCTGGATCAACGTCAATACCCATGCCCTGTCGTCATTCGCACTTCTGTTAGTCTTGACTCCTTCGGGTCTCTGAGGCAAAGAAGATTGCCGATACTTCCGATACGGATAGCCGCGTCACATTTTCCGAGCCGGAAGTCTCGCATCAAACTAGCTTCAATGTGCTTGCATTAGTGGAAGAGCTAACCAAGCCTCTTGCGCGCTAATCAAATCCATCACCAACGGCGCTTCCTACAACCAACAAACACCACATATCATTGGCTTTGCTCCCTCGCAACCCGCAAGCGAACGGTCGTTCCAACCCAGTCTAGGATGGATCAAAACGAACACAAATTGTTACAAATTTTTAAGCACGCGATTTGATGCGACCCTGTTGTTTGGCCGCGAGTCACATGTGAGTAGTTCAGGAACAAGTGGAGGTGCGCACATTCTTGCTGATACAAAGGACGATACTCAGTATGTAATATATATTTGCCGCAGTTCTGCACTCGAAAAGAAAGGAAGATTTGCCCTCGTTCGCCACAGAGATTGGTCTGCGCATCTGATCAACGATATTCATCGTGCATTTTGAACCTTGTGATCCCGAACGTAGGACTCTGACCATCGAAACATGGAAGAAAGCCCCGACGCTGCGGAACCTCCTCTATCGGTTCAAGACCAGCGTGGCTCCGAGTTGGACTTGTTTGTCCGTCATAACCCTGATCAATTACAAAAAATTCCTGATTTACGCGCCCAAATCGAGTCAATTCTTGCGTCGTTGGACTCATACTCTACCGCTCTCGGTGAAGGAAAGGGTATCGCTAGGCACCTGAACGTACCTTTACTCGGCAGCAGATTGGAAGACATCATTGGCGGCTCCTTCAGCAGCCCTTGCCCGCGTGTCGTTGAGAAAAGTGGTCCGGGGAATGACTATGGAGTTACTCCGGGCTGGGTAGATCTGATTAGGGACGCAAGACCTGGCCAGTTCGAACCCTATGGCAATGAAATGGTTCATTACCGTACGCAAGGTCTGACAATAGAAATGAACAAACATGACCGGGAAGCAGTTTGCTCTCCTGTTTTTCGGAAGATATTCTGCTCGGGGCCCCTCCCCGAGGATCTGAAAGCAGAGCAGGAGACTATCACTGCCCTGCTAGGCGACATGTCTGAGCTGGGTAAAGACATGATGCAAGGTGAGAAGTCACAGCTATCGTGAAAGATTCATGATACCAAGCGGCTAAGTCTCATTAGCATTTGCGAAGATCCAACACGTCGTGAAACAACTCAAAGATTATAGCAGCAATCTCTCGGGTTCGACCGGAATCGCACCCTCCTCCCCTGAGCCTGTTGGCCAGGGGCCGATCATGTCTTCACGGCTTTCATCTCTCGGATCTTCAGTTGGGAATTCGGGGAGTGAAGAGAATTGCACCTTGCCATTTGATGGACCACAAACTCCCCCACCTGATACCCGACTAGTGCAAACTCAGCAAATCACGCCGCACGGAGCCCCTGCTGCATCTGAAAGAGTAACCATTTGCACAAACACCGGGGGGGAAGACGTGCTTCATTCACAGCCTCGCCACCGCTGGACCAGGGCAGAAAAAACAGCATATGCGGACTTTATGCGTGGCCGATGTCATATGTCCTGGC